ACCTTTTGGTTTTGACTATTAGATTATGTGTATGGAGAATTCAGATACTCCTTATCACCCCAACCCCGAGGATCTCCGGCGAATACCTGTCGACCTCTTCGTCTCTAAGAACCTTCCCGGCCTTTCCGCCGGCGATCTCGGTTTCACCGATTCCTCCGACCATCTTCTCTACACCATCCGAAAATCTTCTTCCTCCTTGAAGTCCCTCCTTGATTCCTCTGGTGTTCCCCTTTTCTCCATCTCGCGTCTACACGTAAGCTCTCTGATTCCGCGATTCGATCCCAATTTCATCGATTTTGTGCAACAACTCTTATGGTTACTTGTTTAAAACCCAATCAGGTTACTGTACAATTTCTGTCTTTGGGATATATACGTAAGAACTTTGTGTATGTCTTGGAATGTAGAATGGAATGTGGGAATTGCATAAAGGAGATGTGGAAAAACGTAAGGAGTTGATTCTAACGGTGAAGCGGACATCGAACAGATTTAGCAAGATAGAGTTAGAGGTCTCTTTTGCCGGTGAATCGTCGCAACATCTTGTTATCAAAGGTTGCCCCTTTCAGAAATCATGTACCATTTACAATCAAGATTCCATTGTTGCGCAGGTATAAAATCCATCTTCTCATTAGATTCAAGTACTAGAGCATTTGAGTCACTACGCAGCTTGGTTCCACATGTTATAGTGTTCGAAAAATTTGTGAGATGTAGTTTATGATGATGGTAAAGCATCGAGCTGTCGTTTAATGTTCATTTGAAGTCGGATCAGTTGGTTTGTAGAGTTTTTGTTGGATTCTGAATGTTTTCAAAAAGATTGAATATTTCCCTGAAGCTGATCTCTCTGTCTTTTTAATTTGGATGGCAGACGAGTTTGATGTACAAGCTGAGGCAGATTTACGTAGGAAGAAGCAAGTTCCGGTTAACCATCTTTCCGGGATCCATCGATCATTCGCTAGTAGTGGCTATGGTCGCCGTGTTCCTTCAAGGAAGAAAATGAATTTATTCTCTCAAGTGTAGAGGAAACTCTGACCAAAACAAGGCATTTGAGTACATTGCATAACTTGATGCCTTTTGATTTAATTTTTAATGGATTTTAGTACATTGCATAAAAACGTAGATATGAGATTTTAGTGTCTTTTTTGCTTTTTCAAACCATTTTCGGTGACTAATTAAAAATCAGATTGTGTCTAATAAACCGATTTTTCATGAATATTGATGTACCAAGTTCAATTATTTTTCGGAAGTTCATTTTTATTGGTTACTACC